TTAAATTTGAACTGCTAAAACAAGTAATTAAAATTTGTCTTTATTTAGCAAATTGTTAAATGCTAATTTAATATCCATTTTTGATATAAAAAATGTTTAACTTATATTACCACTGTGTCTTCTAAAATTATATAGATAGGAACATTCATTTGAGCCTGAAAGCTTTTACCACGGATTGCTCTTTTTTTAACTTAAATTCTTTATTGTTTAAGGTATTACATAAGTCTCCTTTTCTGCCCATTGACCTCTCCCTCACCCCCTCACTGTCTGTATCCATTGGTTATGCTCATATGCATGCATACAAGTATGATGGCTACTCTTAAACCAACTGTGGACTTTTATTTTTTTATTATATATCAAAATCAGTATTTTCTGCTTCAAAGAAGCTCTACTTTCTGTATTTAAATTATTATGCCGAGATTAAGATTATCAGTATTGGCCTAACCAGTTTGGCTCAGTGGATAGAGCGTTGACTTGGGAACTGAAGGGTCCCAGGTTTGATTCTGGTTGCGGGCACATCCCCAGTGGGAGGTGTGCAGGAGGCAGCTGATCGATGTTTCTTTCTCATCAATGTATCTGGCTCTCTATCCCTCTCCCTTCCTCTCTGTAAAAAAATCAATAAAATATATTTTTTAAAAAGATTATAAGTACTAAAATTAACGTAAGTAAACCATACATCCAGCCTTGGGCCACCTGCCATCGCTAGTATGGATGCCTTTCACCTTGCTTATAAATCTGCTGACAACTGGCTCACTGCTCTGAAAAAGCCTCTTTGGTTTGGGGGAATGTATTAGTTCCCTAAGGCTGCTGTAACAAATTACACAAACTTAGTGGACTAAAGTAATATTTATTTTCTTACAGTTGTGGAGGCCAGAAATCCAAAATCAGCTTCACTGAGCAAAAGCCAAGTTGTCAGCAGGGCTGGTTCCTTGTTGAGGCTCTGCAGGAGAGAATCCCTTTTTTACAACTAGACCTTTGCTCCTTATATTTATTGGCTTATGGCTCCTCCCTCCATTTTCAGGACCAGGATCTTAGCATCATCCATTCTTTCTCTACGTTGGCTGCATCATCTTCTCTGTAGTCAGATCTCCTGTTTCCTAATTATAAGGATACTGTTACTTCATTGAGCCCACCTGAATAATCCAGGATGATCTCCCCTATCTCAGGACCCTTAATTTAGAGTTGGGAATTCATTTTGCCACATAAGTAGCATTCACAGGTTCCAAATTGTGGACTTGGGGCATTTTTAGAGGCTTTCATTCATGCTACCACGGGGAATATACTTGGGGTTGGGATGGGGACAAGGTGAAGACTGGAAAGTTCTTTGATGACACTTTCAGATAGTAATATCACATATACTGTATATGTTGAATGCTCACTATATGCCATCCTGGCATTCTCCTGGACTTTCTAGGAGCATCAACTCATTTAATGTATATCAGCTGAGGAGTGAGATTGGCACTCCCATTGCAACACACCAGTGGTCTTGCCTCAGTAGTTCTCAGCACCTCTGATAGGTCAGCGCCCAAGACCTATGACCAGAATAAAGTAGGAGTCTGGTGCAAATTCTGATTCTCTGGCTCCTACATCCATGAGTCTAACCATCAACTCTACCATAGTTTCTGCCCTTCATTTAAAAAGCAGGCTGCTGCAGAATAGTGATAGGCAAAGAGATCTTAATCCCAGGGCACCATGAACCCTTTACCCTTAGAGATAGCACTTTATACTTTATGTTCTTACTCATCTAATTTCATGGTTGAAGAATCTCAAGGCTTGAAATTAAGAAATTAATTGAAATGGAATAAATTAAAATTGGGAGATTACGTGATTTACTCAAGGCTTCACAGTGGAGGTGATAAAGCCATCGGGGCATATTGTGCTCTTCTCACCAACTGTGGACTCAGAACACTCACTCAGCTCTGCCACTTCTCAATGGCACACCTCATGTTATGGGCTGAATTGTATCCTCACAAAAGCCTATGTTGAAGTCTTAACCCCTGTACCTCAAAATGCAATATATTTGGAGATAGGTAGGGCCTTTAAAAATGGTGATTAAGGTGAAGAGAGGCCTAGAGGATGGGACCGTAATCTAATATAACTGGTATCCTCATAAGAAGGAAGGAAACACCAGAGATACTGATGCACAAAGGCAAGGCTGTGTGAGAACTCAGAAGACTCCCATCCACAAGGCTAAGGAGAAACCAAACACCTTAACCTTAGACTTCTAGTCTGCAGATCTGTAAGAGAATAAATTCCTATTGTTGAAGCCACCATCGGCCTGTGCTATTTTGTTATGGCAGCTCTAACAAACCAACACAGCCCAAGATAGCCACAAGCCTTAGAAACTCTTTGGCCTGGCAGAAGTCAGCTCATGATTCAGATTCCTAAGGTTTCCCACAAGAAGAAATGGGTTTCTGAACAATTTTCACTATTTATAAAATCCTAAGGGAAATGCACAAAATAGTCTAATTAAAATTTTAATATAGTAACATTAATGATTTCATATTCATCTGAAGCTTTATTTATAGCATGTTTCTTTAAAACAAAGTTATCATTTACTAAACTTGATTTGTTTGGTAAATGAAGGACTCTGGTTTGTTGATGGAGAGAGATTGAACAGGAATCACAGCTTTAAGCCCCAATTCTTTCATTTGGATCCTCCAAGACCCATGCTGTTTAATCCTCTTCAAATTCTTAAAGCTCTTTCAGGGGTGAACTGAGCAAATTATATGGCTTTAGTCATTTGTCACATCAAGGGTGTTAAGAGCCATTGTTTTGAAATCTGTATCACTGACATTTGCTAGATAATATATACCTGGTTATTTTTCTGAGGGTTGATGAAATTTTAAGTGAAAATAATCCCAAGTTTATTAGTCCGGATTCTCCAGAGAAACTGAACTGATATATAGATAGGAAGAGAATAAATAGATAGATGACAGACAGGTAGATAGATAGATAAGATAGATAGATAGATAAATTATTATAAGAGATTGGCTCATGTGATTATGGAGGCCAAGAGGTTCCAAAACTGCCATCTGAAAGCTGGAAGCCTAGGAAAGCAGGTATATAATTCCAGTCCAAACCTGAAAGTCTAAGAACCAGGTGAGTCAATGGTGTGCACCCAAGTCCAAGGGTAGGAGTAGATGAATGTCCCAAGTCATATGCATAAATTTGCCCTTTCTCTGTCTTTTTGTTCTATTCAGTCCCTCAACAGATTGTATGATGTTGACCTAAATTGGTAAGGACAATCTTCTTTACTCATTAACTGATTCAAATGCTAGTCTCTTCCTGAAACATGCCTCGAAATGTGGGCATCCCCTTAACTCAGTCAAGACAACACATGAAATTAACTATCACACCAAGGGAACAAAATATGAAAATAGCCTAATTAAATAGGTGAATGGAATTAGGCTCTCTAACAGGCAAAATAAAGCCACAGCAACCAATACATGTACAAGAGTATCAACAACCTGCTAAAGAATGTCTGAAAATTTGAAAAACGGTACTTTAAACAGAAATTTATTTTATTTTAAAAATTATAGCAAATATATGAAGAACACAAATTTCTATTAAGAACAGAAGTTTATTAAATGTTTTATAGTAAAATATTGAGCCTACTTTATTGCAATGCACAGGTTTGATGTTCTAACAAGTTAACACTGTATCTCAAGTTAATGATGAAACTGCAGGAACCTGCAAAGGTATCTTCCTTTTCTTCTTCCTCAACTGCAGTACTGATTGATATTCAGAAATGTTTAGGCATTGGGGAAGACCTGTCAAGCTTCCCGAGTATTCCATTAAACAGTTCTTAAAATTATATATTACTTTAATGGAAAACATGAAAATTTTCTGGTGGGAACAACCATTTTAATATATATTATCTTCGATAACTGAGAACCACAATTCCCAAAATGTATTATACCATAAGAAAGTCTTTGGAGTCAGCATAAGGCTTTCCAGCACAAGATAAATTTCAAGGCAATTTATCAAGGACTGAATTTTCTTAAACCACCAAGCTAGTGATATGTGAAGATAAAAATAAATGTCAAGGTAAAGCAGATTGTTTTCCAAATAATAGGATCTAAAAAATATTGGGAGGACATAAGGATGTGAGAATGAGTGGATACTGGATGATAATAGAGATGATTAGTAAAAGGTACTGAGACTAGTTAGTATTAACTAGCATATAATATATTTTCATTCATTAGTCAATATTTTCTTCATGTATATTATTATTTTAAGGTAGCATTACTAAACACTTAATTGGTCCATTCATTTTTCAAGTCAGTTGCAAAGAAATTTCAATACTGGATGTCTAAAGTTACAGCTATTAACATTTTCATTATCTACCACTAAAACTATCTCACATTCTCAGCCATGGCTCTTGAATACATGATTTCTTGATAAAATATCACTAAAATAGAACTGATGTTGAAAAATTACCTACTTACCAACTTAACCAATTTATATCAATTAGCTCATATAGAATTAAAACAATTCATATCACTTGGCTCTCACAGAAGCCAGATCTTTTTCCTCTTAAACAGTCTAATCAATTCTACATAAAAGCAATTATTCAGAATAGCACACCTAAGATTTGCAAGTATTTCCTACTCATTTACAAGTATATATTGAGGCTTGGGCCTAAATTTGGTACTTCTAGTCCACACTTTGGTTCCCTACCTTTTCCAAACTGGACCCTTTATTTTATGAATATGAATATCAACATCAACAAGAACATGAAAGTAAAGAAAATAAACTTTAATTCAGATCATGCTTTCAAAGGAATGGAAAAAAATAAAATCATCTATGATAATATAGAGTACTCCAATCTTAGTAACCCAAACATGTAACTATCTCCATTACAGAATTAAGCAGCCAGGTCAAATACACTACGAACCATTTGATTAAAAATACTTAAAACCAATGCTTTAACAAGGAAACACTGATGAAAATAGTTTTAAAATACACAGCCTTGTAAAATTATATGTCTTTTAACATTAAAACCTTGTTTCAGAAGTCCCCCGCTTTAGGTTGTTACTCAAAAACTCATCATGTTCAAAACTCAAATTATTGTGAGATCTTGAGATCATAAGCAGCTTTTCCTTATTGGTAAAGTCTTTTTTGATTGCAGTTGGGGGCACAAGCAACCTTTCCATTGGGTCCTCTTTGTTCTCCAGTTTCACATATCCTTTGCTGTTGCTTCGATCCAACCGAGGCCAACTTGGATGTTTCCGTTGTTCTGCCTGAACAGTTAGGGTGGAGCGACCTCGGTCTAAGTCTAAGGATTTTGAATGTGATGAGAGCACATGCAAAGATGTGTTGGACCCAAACTGTCTTCTAGCAGCCCCAGGAGACAAGAGCTGCCCAGGCCCAGGTCCAAGGGCCACAGAGGACTTGTACTGACTAGACAAGGACTCCCCAACGGAATTATTCCGAGGGAGCATCATGCTGACTGGCTGGAAGGACTCATTGGTGTTAGGCAAAGGGACCACAAGGGAATCCATAGACAAATTCCTCGACCTACTTTTGAGGGTCTCCGCATCCTCGGTGATGTTATCTATACTGGGCTCATCGATCACACAATTATTAAGTTTGATCACAGGCAATGTAAAAGCACTGATGGATGAGGACACAATGGACTTGGTCTCACATTTCTTAGGGCCACCGGTCTTATCATCAGTTGTCTTGGAAGGAGATGGGTACAGGCCAAAGACAGAGACAGAGCTATCGGAGAGCAAAGGCGGCATAAGATGCCCCAAACTCTTTTCATTTAGCACAAGCTCATCCTCTTCGACAGAGCTGTCCATCCGAAAACTGCTCCTAAAACCCGAGAAAGAGGAAATGGTGTTCGCTGCCAGTCTCGAGGCACAGGAGCTCCCATTCTGTTTTACTTCCGTGTCTCCTATCAGACCCGTGTAGATGCCATTCATATGCTTTTGCTCCTTGATTCTTAGCGTGTGGATGTCGATGACTGTGGAGTAGATGTCCCTCATGTGTATGATTTTGGTTTCTTTGTCACGGTTCTCGTGAAGGATGGCATTAGCACAAATGAAAATGAAAATGCCAATCCCCATTGTGAAAGGGCCAAGCATCTTCATCTTGTCAGAATGTAAATGCTGCTCGAAGAAGCGAACCACCACGCCACTCTGGTTCCGAATGACCTGAGTGGCGTTTGTGGACAGTGTTGTCTCAGCGTCGATGAAATGTTCTTTTTGGGGCCAATACCCAAGGACCGCCATTGCAATTCCAACTATGGAGATAAGCACTCCTAAAATGAGGAAAAAACCAGAGGGGGAATAAAGCCGGATTTTGCCTCGAACAACCACAACATCGGCCCTTGGCCGACGCCTGACTGGTTTCTTCTCTTGGGCAGCGGGCGACGGGCTGAGGCTAACATGATGCTGTGATCTGGCAGAGTCTTGCCTTTTCAAGGCGGCCAGGCCGGTTATCACTCCACCAGTGGCTATCATAGCTCCGTCTTTTATTCTGAAAGGAAGGGGAAAAGATAATCAGCTCAACATGTTTAGGGGGATGCTCATCAATTCAACCACTGTTTGCGTATTTTTGTTGCTTCGTATAATGAAATGGGGCAGGAAAATAGCTTTTTAATTGGCATAATTTGGGTAGAAGTTTTATTATTGACTAAAGTAAAATCCTGGAGATTTCCTTTTTTGGCTAAATTAGTGTTTTTATTATTAATGAAGTGTAAGCTCAAAGTATAGTTTGCTTCAGTAATTTTACCACTTATCACATAAAATAGTCCCCTGGCGATCATCATACCCTGGTTAAGTCTCACACACACACACTATCCTCATTATCTGTGTTATTTTACAGAAATGGAAAAATCCAGAATACTTAATAAAACAAACAAACCCTAGACTTAAAAAAAAATGTCCTACTTTTGTGAAAGTCACCAAAGAACTCCTAAACTCCAACATTTGATTTCTCAATTCTCATCTTCCTTACTTCTCTGTTTCCATGAATATTTCTGACCCCTCTTTTCTTGAAACTCTTGTCCAGGTTTTTATCTTCCTAAGTCTTCTGGCTCTTCCCTGACCTCACTATTCCAATTTTGGATCATCTCCCCTCATCTAAAAGTAGACCACCATCCCCTAAAGGCCCGGTCCTTGGCCATCTTCTCTTTATACTCTCCCTTGGCATTCATATCTGCTCCTACACCTTCTACCATTTCCTCTATGCTAATGATTCCCAAGTCTCTATTTCAAACCATAGCCATTTCCAACTTCCCAGTGGGGAACACATACACATGCATGCACCACTAGCAAAGTTGAACTCACCTCCTACCAGCACTACTTAACTTTTTTAATGATGTCAGTTCTTTTTTTTTAATAAATCTTAATTGTTCAGATTATTACATATGTTCCTCTCCCCACTCCTCCTTAGCTCCCCTCCACCTGATTCCCAACCCCACCCCAAGCCCTTACCCCCACCACTATATTCATCCATAGGTGTAAGATTTTTGTCCAATCTCTTCCCGCACCCCTCCAACCCCTTTCCCTCTGTGAATTGTTAGTCCAATCCCTTTCTATGTCCCTGATTCTATTATATTCATAATGGTGTCAGTTCTCAGGCTTGACTCCGCATAGTCATTTTTAACTCATCCCTTTCTTCTTCCTCTCATCTTCCAATCAGGTTCTAAGTTCTAGGAATTTTCACCACATGATCTCTCTCCATTCTGCCCCTCCATTTGAACATACTCTTCCCAGCCCAGAGCAACTCTTACCAACTCTTTTTTTTTTCTTTTAATAAATTTTATTGTTCATATTATTACAAATGTTCCTCCCCCCTCCCCACCTCCCATTGTCCTCATCCATAGGTGCACAGTTTATGTTCAGTCTCTTCCCACATCCTCCTCTCCCCATTTCCCCAAGAATCGTCAGTTCACTCCCCTTCCATACCTCTGATTCTATTATATTCAACAGTTAATATTGTTCATCAGATTTTTTTTAACTTCCTTGGTTTTTAGATTCACTTGTTGATAGTTACATATTTGTTGTTCATAATTTTTATCTTTATTTACTTTCTCTTCTGAAAGAACCCCCTTCAGCAATTCATATAATTCTGGTTTAGTGGTGATGAATTCCTTTAGCTTTTTTTAATTAGTGAAGCTCTTTATCTGACCTTCGATTCTGAGTGATAGCTTTGCTGGATAGATTATCTTTGGCTGTAGATTCTTACTATTCATCACCTTGAATATTTCTTGCCATTCCCGTCTGGCCTGCATGGTTACTGTTCAGAAATCAGCTGACAATCGTATAGGTGCTCCTTTATAGGTAACTACCTTCTTTGCTCTTGCTACTTTTAATATTCTCTCTTTGTCTTTTGTTCTTGGAATTTTAATTATGATGTGTCTTGGTGTAGTCCTCTTTGGATTCCTTTTGTTTGGAGTTCTGTGCGCTTCCTGGACTTGTAAGTCTATATAATTCTTTCACCAGGTGGGGGAAGTTTTCTGTCACTATTTCTTTCAGTATGTTTTCGATATCTTGCTCTCTCTCATCTTCTGGGACCCCATAATTCTGATGTTGGTTCGCTTGAAGTTGTCCCAGAGGTTTCTTACATTATCTTCAATTTTCTGGATTCTCTTGCCTTCTAGCTTCTGTGAAGGAGTGTCTTCTGGCTCTTTATGTTCCAAATCTTTGACTTGATTCTTGCAACCTTCCATTTTGTTTTTAGGACTCTGTATAATATTTTTTATTTCAGACAATGTATTCTTTATTTCTTGTTGATTCCTTATTAATTCTAGTTGATCTCTTTTCATATCCTCATAGATCTTATTGATCTTTTCTAGGAAATTCTTGAAAAACCTTATAAGCATAGATTTGAACTCTATATCCAGTCGCTTTTTGTCCTCCATTTCTTTCGTTTGTGATCTATTTCGTTGTCGCATTTCGCAGCTATAGATGGGGCGGAGTTTCAGGGTGGCGCCTACAGCCTTAACTTCGGCCCTATGCGGTTCCTGGGTCCCAGGGTCCTTCAGTTGCAAGCACCTCTGAGAGAAAGGTGCCCTCGATTTTCGCCTGCTACCAGTCTAGGCTCTCCCCCAATGAGCCCAGAACTGGGGTTCAGTTCAGTTGGTAGTGGGATTGGAGGTGGCGTTCAGAACAGTCTGGAGCCCCTGTCTCCTTCCCGCCTGGGCAATCCCATGGCACAGCCAACCGTTCCTTCTCTGTGCTCAATGTGCGCGCCGCCGGGACCTCCTTTCGCCGTTCCCCCGGGGTTCCGCCTTGCAGCTCAGCTCCCTCTGGATGAGCCTGGGTCCTTGGGGTCTTGCCTAGAACTGGGGTTCAGAGAAGTAGGAACTGGGGCCCAGCACAGTCGGAGCTTTTATCTCCTTCCTGCTAGGGAACGCCAGCCAGGCACTCAGCCGCCCTCCTCTCTGTCTCTGTCCTTTCCACGCGCGCCGTGTGTCTCCGTACCTTAGGCTTTTACAGCTCCTCCACTCTTCCTTCTGGTTTTCTCCTTGCTTCTCGTTGTAGAATTTCCAGTCAGTCGACTTTCCTGTAGTTCTGCGTAATGTCCATTTTATATTTTAGTTGTATTTTATTGAAATTGTTGTGTGCGGCTGCAGCTAGGTGTTACCTGGGCACCATCTTGGATTCTCTCTCTTACCAACTTTTACTAGACCATTATAATAACGTCCCAGTTGCTCTTCCAAACTCCAACTGCTCTTCCTCCACAATCAAGCTCACACACTGAAGGCAGATTAATTACCCTGAAACACAGCTCTGAAGTTGTTGAAAGAGTGGAATAATGGATAAAATATTCCACCACCTATCCAAGTTTAATCTGGAATTTCAAATCCATGGAATTTAGCTTTATCTCCAGCTGCACCCTTTCATTTTCATAAAACTAAAACCCAACCATACTCCATATTATACTGTTTCTGAGACTTTGTTAATAATGTTTCTCAATCATCTATAATTTCTTCCCACTTCCCCCAACATATATTGGCATCTGGCTGGTCATCAAAGCTCATCTTTCCACTTCCTTTATAAGCCTTCTCTGAATAATTTAGCAAATCCCACGTGAGCTCTCGTTCCTAAGAACATTTCAGCAAGTTTTCTATGGCACTCACTGTATAACAATGTCAGTTCTTGCATGTCTTGTGGTCAAACATCTAATCTAATTCACTTTTTTATCACCAGAAACATTCACTGTAGTATAATACCTTGTGCAGAGCCAGGATTCAAAAGCTATTTGCTAAAATGCTCAATAAGGGAATAATTCTTCCCCTGAGATTTGCTGAATGGCCATATTATGAGTATACTAAATTTCCTAGTTAAAGAAACACACACACATAAAATTAAAACCAAAACAAACAGCAACATTTTGTGACTTGGTAAAATATTTGTCATTATTTGCAATGAATAGTTCTCAGGCTGCCAATCTGGCTAGTAGGATATGGAGGATATTTTAAGAGCCACACAATCTCTGGAAAATTTCTGAGAGGGTTTCTTCACAGCATCAAATCTTGTCTTGCAAAATCAAGCTATCCTTTTGAATTTTTATTTATGATTTTGGTTGTGTTTAAATAACAGCATTGTGGATGATATCTACAGTTTTAGATAGCTGAACAAGCTGGTTAGTAAATCCAGCCTGCATTGGAATTATAACTAGGATTAAAATAGATTAATGCTTGAATACCAAACTATATTGTAACCCATAGCTCTAGTCTATTAAATTTATCAAAGTATAAATATTATAGTTTAAAAATTCTCCCACACCTTGGCTAAAACAAAACTTTGTGTCAGTTTATGTTTTCTTAAAACAGTTATAAATGTTAGAATAAAATTTAGTTACTTCAATATGACAGGATAAGGATTTACTCTGAAATCCTTCAGAGTAGAATGAAAACAAGCAAAAAGCTTTCATCTGGTTTAAAAACAACCACCATGAATTATCATTCCATACAGATTCTTAATCCTCCTCCATTTGTTAAAATATTTTCTGCAGGCTATGCCATTCTCCATTTCAGAGGCTGACTGAGGAAAGGGGGCTGAGAAAGAAAAATGTATGTATTCTGAAAGATAGATGGGAATAGTAAGGTGGAAAAGAGTGATGAGGGACTGAGTTCCTTTGTGAGCAAGCAAAGCAGGTTAGACCAGACATGACAAAGTAGCAAGGGCAGTTTAAGAGGATGAACATTCATTAAAAATGAAAGGAGAGAAGATGCCTGGAGAAGTTCAGAAATAAAGGATCAAATTGGGGAAAATCAAAGCACCACACAGCTTCTTCAGCCAGTCTACCCTGGCTAGGTCTGGGCAGGGGTACCCCACTCCTAGGATTAGGGGCGATGATGGAGGAGCCTTTGTCCTCTTAATTCCACTGGAGACAACTGAACACTAAGTGAACCTCTATAGTGATTCGGGCCCAGCCCTGAGGGGAAAGCTAAGGTGTGCAAACTCAGTCACCACTTCAAAGAGCTAGTACATTTACCTAAAACAGAATG